TCTCCTTACCCTGTGACACCTGAAGAGTCATCTCCGCACCAGCGTTCGTCGGTCCTTTGGGGAAGGGTTAGCTCCCGCTGCTGCCCTTGACGTGGCAGGTGTCTGAGTAGCTGACAGCCTATCCCCTCTACTTTTACCTTCAGGGATAGGATTCAGCTCTGACAGGTGAGAGGATCTTTGATCTCTGATCTTGCCTGTCTTTGCCTGTCTGCACTACTGCCCTACACCAGACTAGAGCCCTGCAAGACACTTTCACAGCTCTCACCTCACCTGTCACATCACCACTGTGTGATGGGCCTGCGCCTTATCAAATCCCGACCTCAGGTCAGTGCACAAAGCTGAACGCTGGGTACAGGGGAAGGTTACAAACCCCAAAGAAGGGTTCACAGCCTGCTGCTTAGGCTTCAGGGCTTACAGTTTATTATCTAAGGATGTAGCCCTTGTTGTTTATCAGTAAGGCATAAGGAAAAGAGGGATAGGGAGACAAATAGATGGATGGGGAGCTGAACAGAGGGTTGGAAATAGAAAGAAAAGGCTGGAGAGGTGGACAGAGGGCTGGAAAGATACGATGAGACAGACGAGCGGCAGAGATGTTTATCAGTAAGGCATAAGGAAAAGAGGGATAGGGAGACAAATAGATGGATGGGGAGCTGAACAGAGGGTTGGAAATAGAAAGAAAAGGCTGGAGAGGTGGACAGAGGGCTGGAAAGATACGATGAGACAGACGAGCGGCAGAGAGATGGGGAGCCAGACAGAGGAACAGCAGGATGGTAGTGGGATAGGGAGGGGAAGAGGATAATGGAGAGCTGGATAGAGTGATAGGGAGCCAGTTGGAGGGAGGAAGCTATTGACAGAGGGATGGAAAGAGTACAAGAGAGATGAGGAGCTGGGCAGGAGCGAGTAGCTAAACAAAGGGATGGGGTACTGAACAGAGCTATGGGGAAAGAAAGAGAAAGATGGAGAGCTGGACAGAGGGACAGCAAGAGGAACTGGATGGATCCAGACAGCCCAGAACAGCCCTCAACACACTCCAGTTCCACTCACCTGCTGAGCATGCAGAGCTCTCTGCGCACTGCTGTGCCCAAAGTCCACTTGTGGGCCTGGTTGCATATACCCCTACAGCTCCAGACTGTCTGTGTCTGCAAGAGCAAGGGTGCACCCACGGGCCCACGGTTCCTGAGGAGGAACCTTGTGTTCAGTCATGGTATTTTACTATTCCTCATGCATTAGCCCCTTTCAGACCTTCATATGCACATGCTTAAGCCCAAATTCTCTCAGCCCTTAACAACTTCAGTACTCATAGCACCTAGTTTTTCCACGCTCTCAAATCTTCCTTGCTCTCCCCTGTCTTGTTTGAAAACTCTCCCAGACCCCTCCTGTACATACATGCTTCCTTAAAACAGTATCACCAAAATCAACAAAATAGGTTGAGCTTCAAGTTGCCGGCCCTTGGAACATTATCCTGCAAATGAATCAAACCACCAAGGTCACTGGGAGATTCTTGTTTTAGAGTTTTTTTTCTCCAAAGCTTTAATTATGGTTTCCTAGCCTGGGCAAATGCAGATCCTCCCTTAATCATTGTAACACTTTTTATTCTGTGGTCCCAAGTTACTGTTACTACATTAAGCAGCAAAGCAAGGCAAAGACAGGTGGGGTCACAGGTTACCCATCTAGCCACAAAAATTCTTATTTTAGGCCTCACTGGTTACTACAGGTAAATAGACCAAAATAAAGCTCCAAACAGGCAGGTGAGGCTTCACACAGACCTTGTGGCCCTGCTAGCAACACCAATGCCATAGTGACTGGGCTACCAGTCGCTATTCCCCCTCTCCTTTGCTGGTCCATGAATTGTGGCTTATTACTCACAAGTCCAGTAAGGACACGGCCAAAAGTTCTTCATCAGGACCAGGCAGAGAACCTTTCCACTGGCATTTGGATTCTCCTGGCTGCTCTTGACGCGCTGTAACTTACAAAGGTCTGAGGGTGGTAGCCTGTAGTTCTTCATGGCAGCATGTAGTCGTTCCCCGATGTTCTGAATGCCTAGCATTAACACAATTTATAAACACAAAAATACTACCACTATAGGGTGTAAAGTCAAGCTAAAATTTCTGCAACCAAAGAAAACCTCTCCGTGTCTGACAGAATGAGCCATATGCATCAGTGCCTATAGCTCAAGGCTAGCGACCCCTCCCAGGCGACGGGCTTCTGGCAGGCTGCATGTCTGCTGTCTTGCCTGAGAGCCTCCGTTGGGACAGAATAACTTTGTCAGCCAGCGCCTGTTGATGGAGGCATAGTAAAATCCATCGCCCTAAAAAAGTATAAAGGAAAGCAAAAAAAAAAAAAAAATCAAAGCTCTGCAGAAAATCATAAGAAACCAAACTTCTAAGTAGCTGCTAGAGTTTAATCTTTCAGAAGCCTTCTGTGTCCACATTTTTGACACAACTGCGCTCTGCCCCTCATTCAACTCAGATGCACAGAAGATCCACTTCTTGTAACACTTGCACAGTAACTCCCCCTTGTTAAGATCAGTGCTCACTGTGCCACCTGGATAGAGGATACTCTGCTGCCTATTCATTTCCCTGACATTAGCTATTTTAGAGGAAATTGAGCAGATTGGACTGCATCTGTGCCATCAAAGGTAAAAGTCTCAAAGACAGTTACAACTCAGATTGCTGCTAAACAGTCTTTCTCACAGCCGGAGAATTTTTGCTCTGGCCCCAAAGGGGACGTAGGGATGATGCTACTGGCACCCACTTCCCCCCTACTGCTGTTTTGTAGCAGCGCTGCTCCCACGGTATCAGTAGATGTGGGAATCCTTACTGAAAAAGGCTTGCCTTGTCCTGGGAATTTGAGGGCAGGAGATTTTTACAGCCACTTCTTTCAATTTAGTGAAAGCAGCGTCATGTTCCTTGTTCCAGCTCCATTCCTGACTCCTTTCCTGTAATTCTCACCACAGTCTGCTGATACCACTAAAGCTATGTTAACATTGCTGCAAGAATTTAAATCCTCCTGAAATTGCCCTAAGTTGGAACTGATGAGAAGGAGCCTTAATTCCACAAAGCTTTAACCTTTCCTCTACCTACCTGTCTTCCTGTTTTCCCAAACACAATTCCCATGTAATTAACCTCAGGTTGCACCAATTGAGCCTTCCTGAAATTGACCTCTCAATTTTATAATTCAGATGCTTCTGTTTCTCACTTCCTCTTCAGGAACTCTGGTCACTTGACTATCATTCCCCTAAGATAATAAGTTGCTGTCTTGTAGTTCATAAAATATGAGCTTTCAGAGATACATAAAGTCACACACAGAAAAATATACATATGCAGCATACTTTTCGTAACACATACAGACCTTCTGTTATATGTTCACGATCTATTATCTTGATCACTATTCATAGGGATCCTTCCTTAACAGGAGGAATAGGGTTTCTCTTGTTGGGAGATGGAGACAGCTTTCAGTTGGATCTATTTGATTTTATTACTTCAGCTCGTTTATGTTTTTCTGGTCTCTTCAACTTCAGCCATAGCAATTAATCTAAAAAGTATTATATCTGTCTCTTTTTGTACATGCATATAAGATAACAACACCAAACAGAAACAACCAAAGCAAAGCTCGGCCAGATACAGTTAACAATATCCACATGGTAGGGTTATTTAGTCCCCAGTCCTGCCTCTAGGAGGCCGAAATAACAAACACTCATTATCAAGTTACCCATGCCAGAACACCTCCTGCCAGAACATCTCCTACTGTAGCAGTTTCTGGTGATATCAAGGGTCCACTGCATTTTTGCTTCCTTGTTTCATCCAGTCCCTTAGGTATTTATCACAAAAAACTGCTCATCCATCTTTTCTTTGTCAGCATTTGCTATCATTGCTTCCATCTCTATAACAGAGAGAAACTTGCATTTTACCTTCAATGAAGCACTCTAGGTTTATGCATGTTCTTTTTCTCTTTACCATATTTTTTCCCCTCCCCTCTTTTCCTTAAAGGAAAACTGGGAGAATCACAGCACTTGCCACCTTAACACAGTCTCACAGTCTTTACCCTGTAAGTATGATGGCAAATGCTGTGTTAACTGTTTGGAAAGATTACATACAGCAGTTAGAACTAGGTTATTAGACAGGGAGGCATGTCACCTAATACTTACCTACACCATCTTCCATGAAACGTTATGTTTACTCTGGTTTGGTATTACTGTACTGTCCAGTATCCTTTCTCAAACCCTTGTATACACATGCTTAACCCACGATCCTCTCAAATTTTAACTGCATGGAAGAATAAGAGCATTTAATTTGCCTGCCTCTGTTTCAAACCTATTACCTTTTTGATAGATCTCCTAGATTCCTCCTATACGTGGATGCTTACCTCAAAGGTGATGACCAAAGTGAACAACTGGATCACTAGTTCTAGGCTTCTTCTCTTCACGATGCCCTCCTTCAGTGGATTACCCTGCCAAACAAAGCAAAAAGACCAACAAGGCTGCAAGGGTATCAGATTTTTGGACTGCTTCTCTAAGGCTTTCAGGGTGATTGACATAACCCCTGCTCTTTACATTACTCAAAGCTACATTCATCTACTACTTAGGACTAACCTGTTTCTATTTTAAGAGGGGATTGTTGTTTGTTTAAACTTTACATATAGTCTGTAATCTGCTATGCATCATCTCTAGCCCCTTCTGCTTTCACAACACTTTTGGTAATTAAAGGTGTTAATTAATAGCACCCATTGTCCTACAGGCTGGAGTAACGCATCTCCTTCTCTAAAGACATGCCTAAAACCCACACTTTTTCCCCTATAGTACAGTTGGGGCTTCCCCTAGCCCTTCAGTGTTCTCTTAGGCTTTTCCTGAGCCTCTTTTTTTTTTTAGGTTATTCCTTAGCCTGCAATTTCATGTTAATGTTCTCCTTTAGCATTGCACACAGCACAGTTATTGCAGACCAGCTGCATTTAGAGAGCCCTCATGCACACACAGAGGGCTCAGAAAAAGAGAGAGAAAAATCTGTTTATCATTTGTGCATGTTCTTCACCAAAAAGTGCTGTAAATTCTCCTTTCTATAAAGCAGGACTGAGTCAAGGGGGAGACAGATCACACCCCATATTTATTAGGGCACCTCATTGCTGTGGGGACAGGGTCTGGGAGCAGTTTTAGGATTGCTTGGGGACAGAGCTTAGGGGAAGGCCTAGAGCCAGTGACAATGTTGCAGCAGGGTTTGGAGGCATTTTGGGATCTGTGGGGGCAGGATTTGTGGGTGGTTTCATGGCTTTGGGGGAAGCTGGTTGCAGAAAGGGTGGGAATCTGCAGGGCCCTCAGGCCAGGGGTGCCATCCCAGATGCGTACTGAGCACATAGAAGTGCTGCATGTGGCTGTCAGTTTTGCAGGAGGAGCTGCTGGTCTAGTATCCCATCAGAAAAAAAAAATTGTGAGGGACCCCAAGTCCCAGACAAGAGGCATCAGGCTGCTGTGCCACTGCCAGAGACATCCACACCCCTGTGCAGCATACAAGTGCCTGGGGTGTGGATGTCAGGGCAACAGAAGAGCCATTGACACATACTGGACTAGGGAACCACACAGCTTTGGGGCAGCCATACAGGAGGGCACAGGGCTTAGTGAGGCTCAGCAGGGGTTTCAATGAGTTGGTGCCTAGGTTACCACACTATGCCTGGGGCTGAAGGAGGCCCCAGGGTGCCTGGGAGTTTTTTCCTTCTATCCATCTCCTTGTCTCCCTAGCTACAATTCTCAAGTAAATAACTTAGGGCTACTTTAAGTGTGCCTGACTCAAATTGACCTTAAACATGGTTTTGAACTGTACCCTGGGGCATGCCTGCCACAACAGGAGCTATCCTTTGTGCCACCTCCCCACCCCTCCCAGCTGTGTCCAGGGATAGTCAAACCCAAGCCCCTTCCACCCCACACCTCCACACAACAGGAAGCACCAACACAGAAAAAGACTCCACATAGGGCTCTACACTTTCTCTCCCTTCTGATTGTAATGTTAGGGCACAAGAGGGGTCCTAAGGGAACCAACAGCCAAGAAAAAGCCTCTGGGGAACAATTTTGGCCAAAAGAGGGATCCAGAGTAGACTAGAGGGCTGCAAAGAGGGCTGGAGGGCCAAAGGAGGACTCTAGAGGGCTTCTGAAGGGACTAGACAGGGTTAAAGGGGCTGCAGGTCCAAAAGACAGCTCTGGGGCTCAAAGATGACGGGAAGGAGAGTCCAGAGCACACTAGAGGGGTGTGCTAAGAGGTCTAGGGGACCAGCAGAGGTCTGTGGGGGAAGATAAAAGGCCAGAAGAGGGAGCTGACTGTTAGAGAAGGAACTTTTAACTGATTTAGCTTCAGCACTGTTAGAGAAGGAAAGTGTAGCTGACTAAGCTTCAGCTTAGCATAAGTCCAACTCTTGCTTACTGTAAGAGCCTAAAGTAGATGAAGCCTGCAGGCCTCAAGGCCAAACTGCCAATGAACTTGAGAAACTTTTGCAGTTACATCAGCACTGATTAAAACCAGCTAATAAAGATACCAAAGCTAGCTAATGAGGATACAAAGTAGAATGCAAGAGACAAGATGGGATGCACCTGGGTTGTGGTTGACCTTTGAGAAGATAAGGGACTATGGGAAACAAGGACATGGCAACCAGCCTGGGATAAAGGCCCAGGCTGGGAAATAAAACTGTAAAGGGTATAATTACCCCAGAATTTCTTTGGGCAGGGTCCCTTCCTGGAGGCACCCAGCTTGAGCTGTTACTATGCTGTAACATCATTTAAATAATTTTGCTGCTATACATGCATGAGACTTTGCTCCTCAGAAACCTAGGATCAAACTGTTTCCACAACACCAAAGCAGAACAGAGGGCTGTCAAGGGGGCTGGAGGGCCAACACAGGGCTCCAGGGCATGACAAAGGGCCCCGGAAGGGTTCAGAGTGGACTAGAAGGGTCCTCAGGGGTCTAGAGGGCCAAGATATACCTCTGGGGCAGAAGGGAGACTGAAAGAGGAGCCCAGAGCGCACTAGAGGGGTGCTAAGGGGTCCATGTGGCCAAAAAAGTGACTCTGAAAAACAAGGAAGACCTTTGAGTACAATTCAAATTAGATTGAGCTAAACATTGTTCTACTATGCCTGGCTTTCTTCTTCCCTGTCCATACTCAATTCTACAAGTACTGCTTCGCCTAATGATTTTGAAAGTGGTATTGGAAAAGCAAAGTTGCCTTACATTAGAGGCATCCCAGTAGCTCTAAGGTGACTCACAAGAAGCTAGTTAATCAGAGGTCTAGCTGTCAGCTCTGTAAACTACCTATGATCCTTTATTTTTTCAAAAACAATAAAATGCACAAGTTTGATCTCCTCTGAGGTTTTACAGAGAATAGCTTCAGAAAGAACCACAGGATTTTACTGTACCCTCCCCCTTCCCTCACTATTCATGGCAGCATCATGAACTACAAGAAGTTTTACATATAGTCCCCATCACCAGTAACATGCCTTTAGGTATCTCAGCTACTACACTGAGATCACCATCACCTTTGAAGCACATCAGCAGAAAAAGGACATGCCTGGGAAGAAGCACGAACCTGATCTGCTGCTTTTTCCCCAGACAGATACAAACTTCAGTCACTTGTATCCACCACTTAGGTCTTTAGAGAGGCTATTCTAGCATCTTGCTATTATCCAGCTTGCTAGTCTGCAAGCCCAAGATAACTGTACCTTGGTCTCAGCCTTAGAGGAAATAAAGTATTTTTCTCCCAAATTTAATAGAAAAGGCAATTTATTCTAATAGCATTACATATTATAGGTAGAAAAATCTGTTCCTAACTTCCATTCTGTAAAGTAATGGAAGGAAGAAATTAGAGCAAGAACTAATCAGTCCCAAATGCAATGTTCCATATTTACAGAGGAACGTGAACATTAGATTTCATTTATGAGCATTTGCACCACTGCATGCTTGTGAGATGAACCTAGAAGGAAACAAGTTAATCAGTACACAACTGCTTACCACTTCTGCCAGAAGTGGAAGAAATGTTCAGTTTTGATCCATTTTCTCAAAACACTGACAATAGTTCTCTTCCAACAAGAGAATTATCTGTAGTTCGGATCAAGCCAGATTGAGATAAAGCTATTCCCCTCCTTTCCTTCTCAGTTCATGCTTTTTCCTTGACCAGCAGCATGAGCAAAGATACAAGACAGAGGGAGCTCAGTCCAGTGACTAACTACAGTTACAACGCAGCATTACAACTGCAGTTCATGACTGAAAATAGATTTACTGATAGCTTGTTCACAATTCCTTGTGCCTCTGCACTCAGGTAAAGATTCTTCTTGGTCAAGTCACATGGTCTTAAACAAATGCTCTGTGAGGAAAACAGATCTCAGTCAGTAAACATACAGCAAAATATCAGTCTACATTCTGCTTAGACCAGCTTGAACAGCTCCTACTTCTGCCTAAGAACTTAAGGTTATTTTTAAGCTAGATCAATCCCAATCAATTGGGATGGCACAACTAAAGAGACAAGAACAGATGACCAGAAACAGCTTGAAGCCGATAGGTCCCCCCCAGAAGATATAAGCTATCCCTTTAGCATAGATTTTGCAGATTCACATTTCTGATTTACCTCCCCTCCTCCAACAGGGACTGAAATGAAGATATCATTGATGTCAGCAAGGGAGCTGCCATTGGCAGAGATGGTGTAAACATGTTCATTTAGTGCAGGTGTGTGCAAAGCTGGTGTCTTGAAAATTCTGAAACATTCCAAAGTTAAGTAGTTTTATTGCAGCTGATAAAAGTGATCACAAGCAAGTTCAATGAGATTCTCTGATGGAAAGAGTTTAAAACCATTTTCTGTGTAATATAAGTACAACAGGAAGAGAGGCTCTACCTTGCAACTTGTTTCTGATATTCCTGAACATAGAAGTGTTAAGTGCTTGCTCATGCTCCCCTCTTTCTATAACTCTATTTTTTTAGCATTATAGATATATAAACTATTATAACAGGAGAATAGTCTGAATCTGTTCAGACCTCACAGGCAGTCAGAGAATGTTCACTGAACAAGTAGGAAAGGAATTACAATTTGCACATAATTTTACAGACAAGCTTTTTTGCAAGAAAGTAATTCACATAGAAGAAAAAATTATGAAGGCATGAAGTCTCAATGTCTAATCCTGACTCCACAGAAAACACTATGGGTACCAGTCAAAAAAAATCTTCTCTGCTTCCATGATCCCATTCTAGTGTGGGAGTTTCAGATAATACTACACATGCTCTATTAAAAAGTTTCAAAAAAGCTAGGCAGGCCACACTGATCAAGTACTTAAACCCAAGGTCTTTCATTACAGATTCAAAGAGTCATCAAGGACCATTTTGCAAATAGACGACAGATACAAAGAAAGTCTTACTGTTTGCTTTATGTATCAGAAGTTAACAGAGAAATAGAACACTAATCTGGAATAAAACTTGGTTGTGACAGTGGACACATCTCCCTGAGCACAGGCATCAATGTTACCAGTAGCTGCAGTGTTGTTTCTGCTTGATCTGCTAAAGAAAAAAATTCTGCTCTGAAGAATCATTTTCACAGATGTGCAAGCTCCTCATTCAAGGCTCTGATAAGACAGAGACCACTACAGAAAAATCAGAGGTTCTTACTGATTAAGGGCAAACCCCAAAGCTAGGAATAAGCTGATCCTCAGAGGAAAGGAAGTTGCCTGTCCTTCATTCACTGTCAAATCACTGATTGTTTCTACAGCATGGCATGCCTATGCATCAGTTAGGTGGAACAGAGTATAATTTAGTAGCCTAAGAATTTTAGGAACAATAAACTTACTCTCCTTTTCTGAAGACCAGGGAAAAGGATATCTCCTAATACCTTTTACTTGTGCCTTTTGCTCTTGCTGAATGCGCTCCTTTGCTCTTGGTCACTGACACTTATTTTAGTGGGTGCCTTCACCTGAAACACATGACTCAATGAATCAATTATTTTGCTATCACATGACAGTGAGCCCAATATGAATAAATGCTTCCATACAAAGCATCTGACTTAATAGCTTCCTTTATAATGCACAAAGCTTGAACCAAACATCATAGACTTCTAATCATTCCTATTTTAATATTGTTCATATGTTCTCCCCCTCTCAGCTCTGCTGTAGAATATTAGAATGACACTGGACTATATGAACTTTTAATCTAACCCAGTACTGTCCATATAGTCATTAACGCCCAGAGCAAAAGCAGCAGAAGTTCGCATTGGTAAAGAATTTTCAACACAGTTAAAAATGTCTCTGCTATAGGAATATCACTCTGTATACAGCCAAAAATGCATTAGCCCAGAGGGAAGGGATGGAAAGTGAGACCTTGCAGCTATGCAAAAGGCTACAATAGAAGCAGGGATCAGACAAGGCAGGGATAAAGCACATGCACCAAGCTAAGTAACTGCACTCTAAGAGCAAATGAAAACCAAGATGCCTATCACTAGACATTTCATGAGACAGTGGCTGTTTTCAAGTCCCCTTTGAAGTGCCCTGGACAGCATTACGATAGCCATCATCTCAGTGAAATTGTTTACCTCTTGAGAATAGAGTCATGGTAAGGAATAGCTAATTACCTTGACAGTTCCTGGATTACTGTTTTCAGCTTCTAGTTCTGCAGGAGGTTGGTGATCAGGTTGTATGTTTTGTGCTTGAGGAAGTGAAGGAAGCTCTGCTTCTTCCCAAGTAGCTTCAATATCCTGTTTATAGTTTCCAGCTAAGAGGAGAAAGTGTTATCCAAGCTGAAAGCAATGAATCATCAGCTAGCAATTGGGTGAAAAAGTAAACAACTCAAGTATTTTCAGCAGCAATTTGCTCCTGAAATCCAAACCCCAATAAGAGTGGTTGACAGAACATTATTTTAAAAAAAATTTAAGAAAAATTAAGTAAAATTACTTCTGGTAACTGGAATAAAGGAAAATCATTTTCTTGCATTTAAGTATATTGAAGGCTGTAAGTAAGAGCAGAATTATCATTCACAGTACACAGACCATTGCTAGCTCTCATCTTACTGAAGTCATCAGAACACTTAAAAGCGAAAACCAACCTTCCTCAACAACACTTAAAGGAATCTGGAGAAGTTCTGCTGTTAAGAAGGCCAATGGTATCCTGGGCTGCATGAGGCAGACTGTTGCCAGCAGGCCAAGGGAGGTGATCCTGCCCCTCTCCTCAGCCCCGGGGAGGCCTCACCTGGAGTACTGTGTCCAGTTCTGGGCTCCCCAGTACAAGAGAGACGTGGCACTCCTGGAGAGAGTCCAGCGGAGGGCTACCAAGATGATTAGAGGGCTGGAGCACCTCTCCTAGGAAGAAAGGCTGAGAGAGCTGGGCCTGTTCAGCCTGGAGAAGAGAAGATTGAGAGGGGATCTCATCAACGTGTACAAGTATCTGAAGGGGGAGTGTCAAGAGGATGAGGCCAGCCTCTTCTCCGTGGTGCCCAGCAACAGGACAAGAGGCAATGGGCAGAAACTGAAACACAGGCAGTTCCATCTGAACCTGAGAAAAAACTTCTTTCCTGTGAGGGTGACTGAGCATTGGAACAGGTTGCCCAGAGAGGTAGTGGAGTCTCCTTCGCTGGAGATATTCAAAAGCCGTCTGGATGTGATCCTGGGCAATATGCTCTAGGTGACCCTGCTTGAACAGGGAGGTTGGACTAGATGATCTCCAGAGGTCCCATCCAACCTAAACGATTCTGTGATTCTGTGATTTCTGTTATATCCAAGTCTGCCTACAATTAAAAAGTCACAAGATCATTAGGATCATCAGTAAAGCATCACTGCAATGAGCCAAAGCTGCAGAGTAAATGCTTAATTATTTTACAACAGAAACACATCTGTATTCCCCTGCTGTGCTCAAACTGGAAACTTTCACATTATTCAGGAAGTGACAGCAATCCAACAGGCTTACATGCCATTCAGTGCTAGCAAGCCTTTTTTGGCAGTACAAGTACACTTTTCCCTCCTCCCTGCCACTTGTTTTAGAAATGGTTTAATGTACAGAAAAACACATTCTCACAGGGATCCAAGAGGGAAGCAAAGCAGGAAAGCTAGCAGTGGGCAGAGAGCAGCATGAGCAGGCAAAGCCTACAATAAACAGTATAGATGTTTATTACCTTTAAGTCTTAACAGAGTAGCTGTGAAAGTGTTTACATAACCTCGATAAGGCTTCAGGAAACCATTCTCTCCCACAGGGGCAGAAAGCTGAGGGGAATTCAGTATTTATACCCAGACATCTACCACCGTTGCCCCTTCTAAGGCCACTGCACTCTCTCCTTTAGCTGTAAAGAAAGCATTAAAAAAACAAAACAAAAAAATCAATATGCAGTTTTCTCCCGCACCGTGTTTTTAGCCTCCCCCACCAGCCCCACGTACCAAAGTAGATGAGCCAGTTCATGCTGCGCACCGCCTGCGGCAGCCACGGCAGCTCCAGGTCGTAGAGCTCCTCCATCTCCCTGACCAG